CAAATCCATCTGGTCCAGTGTATCATTCAAGTCCATTGTGTCTTTAGTGATTTTCTGTCTAGTTTATCTATCCATTGCTGTAAGTAGAGTATTAAAGTCCCCTGCTATTAGCACATTCTTATCCATAAGATTGTTTTCTGTTTGTGATTAATTGTTTTATGTATTTGGGTGCAGCCTTATTTGGTGCATAGACATTTGTAATTGTTATCTCTTCCTGATAGATAGACCCTGTAATTATTATATAATGCCCTTCTTCATCCCTTGTTACTGCCTTTACTTTAAAGGCCCATTTGTCTGATATGAGTATGGCTACTCCAGCTTTCTTTTGACTTCCAGTAGCATGAGAGATATTTCTGCATCCCCTTACTTTCAATATGAAGGTGTCCTCGGGTCTACAATGAGTCTCTTGTAGACAGCAAATAGATGGAGTTTGTTTTTTTTTATCCATTCTGCTACCCTATGTCTTTTCATTGGAGCATTTAGTCCATTTGTCAGTTTTATTATCGAAATTTATGGGTTTAGAGTCATTGTGTTCTTTGTAGGATTCATGCTTGTGGTGGTGCCTCTGGTACCTTGTGTTCCTTGCAACATTTCCCTCACAGAGTCCCCCTTTGAAATTCTTGTAGGGCTGCTTTAGCAGTGATGAAATCTTTCCATTTTTGTTATTTGGGAACACTTTTATCTCTCCTTCTATTCTGAATGACAGGCTTGCTGGATAGAGGATTATAGGCTGCATATTTTTTTCTGTTCATCACATTGTAGATTTCCTGCCATTCCTTTCTGGCCTGCCAAGTTTTAGTAGATACAGCTGTAACTACTCTGATAGGTCTCCCTTTGTATGTTAGGGCCCTTTTATTCATAGATGCTTTCAGAATTCTCTCTTTATCCTTATATTTTGCCAGTTTCACTATGATATGTCGTGCAGAAGATCAATTCAAATTACATCTGAGGGGAGTTCCCTGTGCCTCTTGGATTTCAATGTCTGTTTCCTTCTACAGATTAGGGAAATTCTCAGCTATAATTTCCCCGTCTCTTCCTCTTCTGGGATTCCTATGATACGGATATTGTTCCGTTTGATTGTATCACTCAGTTCTTGAACTCTTCTTTCATGCTCCTGGATTAGTTTGTCTCTCTTTTTCTTGGCTTCCTCTTTTTCTATAATTGTGTCTTCTAATTCATCTATTCTCCTCTCTGCCTCTTCAATCCATGCATTGGATGCCTCCATTTTATTATGTGCCTCATTTATAGCATCTTTTAATTCATCACAACTATTTTTAAGCCCCACAGTCTTTGTAGCAATAGCTTCTATGATGTCTTCCATGCTTTTTTTCAAGCCCAGCGATGAATTTTATGACTATTGTTCTAAATTCTTGTTCAGTTATGTTGCTTATATCTGTTTTAAGCAGCTCTTTAGCTGTCATTTCTTTCTGGAATTTCTTTAGACTAGAGTTCTTTTGTCTCGTCATTCTGGCTAGCTTTCTGTCTCTTCTTAGTTTTAAAAGCTTGTTATGTGCTCTGCATCTGCCAGTTCTGCTATATTAAAGAAGGCTCATTGACTGTCTAGCACCTGTCTGTTCAGGAAGTGTTCTTTGAATGGTGTCTCTTGTTGAGACTTTGGTTATTATATTTTCCTACTTATAGTGGTATTTGGGACTCTCCACCATGTGTACTTTGGCTTGTTTCTTGAGGTAGTCCTGGAAAAAAAAACAAAACAGACAAACACACAGGGAACAAAGGCACGCAAATGCACAGACAAATCCAAGAAACAAGCAAACTGAAAGGGAAAAAGAAAAAGAAAATAAGAAAAAGGAGGAGAAAAGGAAAGAGAAGAAAAAAGCAAAAAAACCCCAAAAGACAAAGGATAGTCTAAAAGCATAAAACCAGAATTCCCAGCTACAAATAGAGAGCAGGGTGGATGCAGTGCTAATGGAAGAGCATATTCACAGAGAGAAATGTCAGGGTGGGGAGAAAGTGAAATTGGACAATGACCAGGCAGAGAGACTAAGAGGCTTGATTCAGAAAGACAAAGAGGAGAATATGGTAGGAGGCAAGGAGAAAGAAACGAAGATAACGTTACTCTGAGAAACTATATAGTCTGATTACTCCAGAGAGAGAGAGATAGAAAGGTGGTGGTGGAGGTATAGAATATATATCTAGAGAATGGATTAAATGTGGCTGTTTAAGCAAACCAATGACCAGAGTGCCCAGTCCAGCAGAGGGGAGGGATATGAATGAGAGAAGGGGAAAATATATCTGAATAGAAAGAATTGACCTAGAATTAATCATGGCAGTGCATCCATGTTGGTCTTGCCCTGGGCTCTGGGTAAAAAAAAAAAGTAGCTCTCTAGCCGGAATGGGTGTGGTTTGGTGTAGGCAGGTCTTAGCCTCCACTGTGGTCCCACCTTGGTGGTTGTGGGGAGGAAAATGACGGTGCCCCAGTCCCCTCTGGAACCAAGCACCGCAAATCGCTCCCTTGGGTTCGATCTCTCTGTGCTGCAGGTGCAGCCAAGGTGGGCCGTGTTCTGTATCTGAAGTCCCGTCTTGTTTTCAGGTCCCAGTCCGCGTGTTTTATTGAATCCACCCAAACACAGTCCAGCAGGTCAGCTGCTTCCCCGCCACTGCTGGGGATCAAGTTGGGAGATTAGCTGCGGAGCTTAGGTAGGCTGCTTCCCTGCTGCTGGGATTGAGCAGGGAGAGTAGCAGCGCCATTTCCTGCCCACCGCTTCCGGTTGGAGGTCCAGCCAGAAGAGCAATGGAGCAGTTTCTCCTGAGCCGCCTGGGACTGGGGCACCCAGTTCAAAATCAGCACCCCAGTTAGAACTAAGAGCACTCTCTGTCCCAAGCCGAGGTTTTCCTCTTCTCCAGGGACAGTTCTGTGAGTAGTTTCAGCTGATCTTTCTTTTCCCCTCAACTCACTACGGCTCCCCATGAAGGGGGCTCCCTCCCCTCCTTTCATGTCCCCGGGTCTCTGCCCATTTTTATCTTCCCCAGTTCGCACTCATGCACTTATAAGGTTGCCATCCCAGTGCACTCTGTCTCTTTTCTTCCCAAACTCCTGTCCTATGGCTGCAGGCCTTCTCTGTTTGAGAGATGGGGGTGAGCAAAATGCACGGAGCTCCCTACTTCTCTGCCATCTTGCCTCCTCTGCTTCTTAGCAGTTTTTAAAACTGTATGTTTTAAGTGCTTTTCTGATACAAGAGCAATGAGTTGATTGTTATCACAAATAGAAGTAGGTATATGGAGTAGTTATTTTCTTTTAAAATAGGGTGTGTACTCAGCATTTTAGAAGTGGAGATTAACAAACTTAAATATTCTTTACTACAATTTAAAATAAAATTGTTAGATGAATAAACTTCTAAAGGCATATTAGCTCAGGATTCTCTTTCAGATTATTTAAATTATACTGAAAAAGCTTACTAATCTATTAGAATGAAATCTACTGCAAATACTAAGTAAGCAAAAATAAACATTTTATGAGAAATGTTGGTAAAAGGGAATAATAAACCAGTACCTGATAGTAGTATGTTGAAGTGATAAATTTTTCCAAGTTCTTTTGCATACTTTAGTTTATGTGTTGAATAAGTAAATCTTAGATTAAAGAACACGAAAACAAATTATTTTTCTCCTATCCTCATGCTTAAATAATATGTTACATGCAAGAATATTATTCTAAAAACGATTTTGTCATAAATAAGAAATTTCTTTTTATACTAATTTTTTTAATTTTCTAAAACTAAATCATTGCAAAAAACTGTCAACCTTGTAATAGTAGTATTAGTATTAATTTTTCTAACCATGCATGATTCATTTAACCCTACAGTAGCTGTAGCTTGCTTGCCTTGTTTTTTTCCCTGAAATTAAAAAAAAAAAATTATAAAAACACAATGAACATCTGTTCTACATAGCAAGACAGCAGAACAACTTATGTCCTAATAAATTGTTAACATTGTATTATTTCACACATGGATTTTGGAGATACATACATATATGACTTCTCGGAACTTTCTCTGTTGAATGTGCACTGTTGTTAAACTACTTGTTTTTTCCCTGCCTACTCTTTGAAGAAGTCAATTAGGAATAATGGGAAACAAGGGGTAGGCAAAACATTGCAGTGCAGTGTTCTTTCCATCTGTCTGAGAATATTTCAGCCAAAAGTTTATTTTGGGAAAAAAAAAAGCCATAACACACTTTCAGACACACAAAACCACAAATACTTTGGCTGCAAATTATTCTGCAGTGTCGTTGCTGTGTTGTTGCCTGTGTATGTTCTTGTGTGTGAAGCTGCCACCCCACCCATGCATGTGTTTGCAGATTCTTGTCTGTGTGCTTGTTCATGAATTAGCTCATCCTCCTCCTGGTTCAGGTTAAATTTAATCAAGAAAACAAGAATTTATGGGTATGACTGTTAGCTAGAAATCCCTTCCTCACTTGCAAGTCTTGCAAGTCTTTCAACCTACATCTTCTGCTGAAATTTCTCAGTGGGACGAAGTGTTCAGTGATCAGTCAACCAGTCTCTTCTATGTTACCTGGCTTTACATATACCCTTGCTGTTCTTGGAAAAATAATTTAATATTGTTTTATCTCACTTTCCCTACTGGAAAAGGAAGTTATTGGTACGAATCACCACCTTAACTGTGAGAGGTTGAATTGTCTTTGTTCTGCTTGCCAAAGCATCAGGAATAAAGATGTCACAGTCTCTACCCCCAACCATCCCCCATTTCTTGGTGAGGAAAATAACCCCCAAAGCAGTAACATGTAATGCAACAAAATATTAACAATAGAAGAAACTCCCCTGTGAAACTGTAATGTAATTTAAAATCAGCATTGTTCCAAGGCAGGTGAAATGTGGGATTCTCCATTTTGCCTTTTAACTGACAGTATACCCAAAATTCTTGACGGTTATTATTTTTTCTTCAAAGATAATTTCTGGGCCATTGGTGACTGCACTGTTATTCTAAATTGTTGTCTTAACTACATTCTTTAAAAATATAATGTTGAAGGCTCATAATATTGAAGATGACTCCAGGATAAACCCCGAGTTTGCAGACCGGATAAAACAACTTGATAAAGAGGCATCTTACTACCGTGATGAGTGTGGCAAGGCCCAAGCGGAAGTCGACCGGTTGCTGGAGATCCTCAAGGAGGTGGAGAATGAAAAGAATGACAAGGACAAGAAGATTGCAGAACTTGAGAGGTAAATTCTGCAGTCATGCTGTGAATTGTCAGCACTGAGTGAATATGGGCTTAGTTGCCCATTGCAGTTGGTGGTGGCTTTGGAATGTGCATTCCTATTTCAAGTTGGAAACAAGTTATGGAGGAGGAATGGGTCCTGTTAGGGATGATGTTGTGTTTCTGTAGGATACTAAAGAAGGCACCTAGCTTATCTTTTGAGGGCTTATGTACTTCTTAAGTGTTTAAGAAAGAAATGGCAAAGTTTCTTGAGTGATGTCTCTGATTTAGCATTTGTGCCTGCAAAGTGTGTGAGAAATTGAGGCTATGACTACTTGAAACCTTAGTAGGAGTAGTTGTTTTTGTGGTTGATTTCCCCATGAAAGACAAGCATTTGTGGTTTAGGTTTGTTTTGAGCAAAGAATATAAAAGAATATATTTGGGAATTCATTCAAGATAGGAAAAAAGGGAAAAGAGCTCATATCCTTTGGATGTCTTTTGGCACACCACAGTAAATCATCTTGGGATGTATCTTGTAAGAGGACCTTATATCATTTGTTAAATAAATATGTTTGAATACCATCTAAGTTAGGCCTACCTGATAGCAAATTCTGTCTAAAAACAAAGACAGTTATATCAGGGTTCCAGAGCATTTGGATTTTCAGATAACTCATATCCATATTGTATTTATGTATAGGACAGACTCTGAAAATAAGCTTTATATCAATGCTTTTTCCTATATTTCATATAAGGAAAGAATTTCTGAATAATCTTACATAACTCCTTTACCTCTGAGGATTTCTTACTGGTTCAGCAATAAGACAGAATTTGTCTTTCCTAGATTCAGTCCATATGGAAGAGATCAACAAATTTTAAATAAATCAGTGAATGTTTGCCAGCTCTGATCAAGACACTTGTGAGGCCCGAAAGGATGTCAAGACATGTGCAGAATAGCTCCCTATGGCCTTGTGGAAAGCTCACAGGCTACACTGACAAAAAGACCTGGGTTCAAATTTTGCCTCTGCTTCGTGTCATCTTAAATCTTGCTAGAAATGACTCTCTGATAACCTCTTAAAATATATCATACTTTTCAGGTGCCAAGTCCTGGTGCCACCCTTCTATTATTATGAATAAGTGTTAAAACAAATTCTCAATATTAAGTGGCCATGTATTAAATGGATAGATTAATTCTCATATTTTCAAAAATTTCAAACACAGAATTTAATGTATTAAAATTCCAAATCAATTAGTATTCACTTAAAAATCATAGTATTAGTTTGAGGATAATCAGATTCTTATACAGTGTGACCAATTTTAACTGTTAAATCAAGAATTTCTTTTCCTGAGATATGTGTACAAATTAAAATCTGTAAGGGCTTAATTTTAATTTTAAGATGTGGGAATGTTCTGCCAGCGTATTGGTTCTTAAAAACACTGTTAATTTAATTATTAATTTTTTGAATGTTTATTTTTGAGAGAGAGAGCAAGAGAGAGAGAGAGAGAGTGCAGAGGAGGGGCAGGGAGAGAGGGAGACACAGAATCCAAAGCAGGCTCCAGTCTCTGACCTGTCAGCCCAGAGCCCGACGTGGGGCTCGAACTCATGAGCTGCAGGATCATGGCCAGTTGGATGCTCAACTGACTGAGCCACCCAGGCGCCCCATCACTGTTAATTTTAGATGTATCTACATGGCTACTTTGGAATTATATATTAGGATCAAAATTTTCCTTAAAAAGCTAATGTGAGATCACAGGGAAGTTATCTCATCTCTTTTATTGGTGAGAAATCTGAGACCCTGTAAGGTTGAATTACCTTCTGGAGATTTGTCCTGTGGTCAGAAACAGGCAAAACTGTAATGTGTGTTTCCTGACTCCTAGTCTTACTGTTCTGAGAAGCTGTGAGTCTTTGAAGAACCTAATATTATCTATGTCCTGCGTAATATTAATAATAGTAATAATAATAATAAATTATATTTTATGCTCACAGTGTATATCAGGCACTCTGCTAGGCACTTGGCCTATAATACTGTATACCATTTAATCTTACCCTCAATACAGAAAGTATCATTATCTTCATTTCATAGATGAGAAAACTATGACTTAAACAGATTAAGTAACTTTCTAAATATTTCAGAGTTTATAAGAATGAAATTTGGAATTTGAACCCAGGTCTAACAGGTGAGTGACTGAGAACAATCCAATCTCACAGTGAGCCAAAAACAAGAAGTGAGTCCAGTAGCACTAAACAGTCGATAACTGGGAGAGAGGCATCGCTGCTGGGCCACAGGAGATCTGTCTCATCTTTATTAGTTTTCATGAGAGAAAGTGATGTGCCCCACATTTTGAAGGCATTTTTTTTGTACTAACCCAGCTCCCTAGAACTGAAACTGAAAAATCAGGATCAGCAACTATAAATATTTGCATAAAAATAGATATTCTTAGTTGGACAAACAGGTCTTAGCTAGACACTAGTGCCATTAAATCATGAAGAATATTCACATTTTTATATCCTCAATATGGAATGCATTAAAACAGCAGTGATTTTACAGGCATTTATCTTTATGTACTTTCCACACTTTTTCTTTATCTCTGCCTTTGCCTTTCCTTAAAGCTGATGCCTCCCAAGCACTGTAATTCATTAAACGTGTGGTGGGACTTGAGTCTGTCCCACTTCTCTGCCTGCCTGTGTCTTGGGTCCAACAGCATAACATAGTCTGGGAAATTTCTGAGCTCCAGCCCCAACCCAGGCCCCGAAGGAGGTGGGGGTAGAGAGCAAGAGGGAAAGTTTTCTTGGGAAAAGGACAGCTCAGTCTTGGCCTGCCTTTCTGAAGCATTATCTGCTGGGTTACATGTGTATTCTAACCAAAACATCTTCCTCGTTTGTCAGGCAGCCCTTTTGAAATTGGGAAGTATCTCCAGTTTCTGGCTTAAACTACAAAATTCCTACCTCATAATGTTGGGAACTAAAGATTTCTTAGCAATGTGACATATATCTCCATTTTGGAGGCATGGAGGAGTGTTTGCAATTAAGTTTGTGATTTTGGAAACCAAAAAATTGAACTTGATATAAATTTGTGGTCTCTGGTCTGTAATGTGACCTACCAGAGTGAAAAGACTTCTTTTTAAAAGCAGGGAGTGTTAAAATATTCCAGAACTTCAGTCATGTGCAACAAAAGGTTCAGGGTTAGGAATAACATAACTCAAATGACACTGACACTGGCCTACTTCTCTCTCAGAGGGCATTTCTTGTTTGCTTTCTACTCTGTTAATCTTACCATTTTTTATTTTCTCTGCAATGTATATATTCCAAATAGCATATGCCTGGCCCTTACATGGGTGCGTTTACCTCTTAAATTCCACATGAATGATGTTTTTCATCAGCCATTAAAGATTTTGCTTTTTAAAATGCATATTACTGCAGTGTGATCCCCATGTGCAGTTTTTCTTATAAACGCTTGTACTTAATGCTGATGGCTCAGCAGGGAGCTTCTGCCTTGGACGCGGATGACTCTGGGGGACTTAGACACAGGTGGGTGAAGGAGCATACTCCTGAGGGTTGGTCCAAATCAGGTTGAAGTCTTTATGTGATCACCACTGCTAGATACCATGCATGCTATATGATCAAAAAGACAATTAAACATTAGAGGGAGTGAAATATGTGGTCTTTATGTGTCAATGGCCATCAAGGGCTCTGAGTTTAATTTAGAGTTTCAGAATTAATTCTGCCTTAGGGAAAAGAGAGAGTTTAACAGAGCTCTTGTCAAACAAGGCCAGCTGCTACTGGATTTCTGGCATCTCACCCATGGGAAGGAATTGATCAGGTAACCTTTCATGTAATTATCTTAACTATGTTAGGGAGGTTGTTGGTATGTGTCTAGAGGACAGGGAATGCCCAAATCAAGTCCTCAGTCTCATCCCTCCCACTGGGGAGAGGAGAGTGGGTCCTTCAGCGTTCTATTCCTAAGACTTAATAACACTGAAATAGAAAATAGTAAACAGGTAACACTTAACTGTCTAGATCAAGGACTAATGTCATCAGACATTCAAACTTTTGAGAAATCATTTTAGATGCCTAAAAGCACCTTAACTAAGGTTGAGAAACAGACAAAGATTTTTCCTCCTGAATTTGTTCAAAACTTATGCTGACATAATTTCTTTGATGCCTTTCATAACACCTTTTACAAAATGTAAATTGAAGCTTTACTTAAAAACATTATGATACTGTGTAATAGAAGTCTCATGATATGTTGAAGAAACTTGATACCGGTTCTGTTTGTTTTGATATAAACTCTTCTCTCTGAGAAATTTCTATTTTTATTAAAGTGTTTGAAGACATTTCAATGAAACAAGTGGTAGATGGTTTGGACCATCCCTAGAAACCCTTTGGGGAATATCCTATCCCTAGGATATTATGGATGCCTTTGGGAATTTGATGAAAACTAAGAACCCTTGGAAAAGGCAACTAATCTTAAATGTTTGCTTACTGTTTCAATTTAGGATTCTCTAAAGTTTGGCCATGGATCACAGTTTGATATACCTCTCTGATCAAGAAGAATTAGAAGGAACAGCTGGGGCCAGAATCCTCACAATGATCATGGCCTGATCTAACTTATTTTTGATCAGTTGTGTGTTCATGATCATGAAACACTCTGCAAAGGGATTTCAGATATGAAGGATTGTTGAATCAGTGCTTTCACCATATGTTTAATCTTGAAGTTTCTCTTTGAATTTTATCATTATGGTCAACATTGTTTTCATTTGAAATGTTCTTATTTAAGCCTTCTCCTGATGATTTGTTTTGTTTTTCCTTTCTCTGTGAAATGCTTAAAATTACTTAATAGTATGGAATGGTTGGGGTCCCATTGATAGATAGCTGGTAACATATTTTCTCATCCACTTTGTTTTTTACAAAGAGCATTATATAGGTTAACAAAATGAATGTCCACTGTATGCTCCTGTGGTAGCCTGAAGATCATGACTTTTTTCCTTTTAATTTTTGCTTGGATCTGGGACTTTATTGTTTTGACTTATTAGAAGGGCATGTTAAATATTTTTGTACAAATAAATTATCAAGCATCTGGATATTTTCATCACTGAAAAAATTACTCTCAGCTTTGGAAGTTGCTCTGTCCTTTTTTGGGAGGCTGATAGGAGGGCAGCACCTCACCTGAAGCCCTGCTCACAGTGTCTTTGATCATTGCTATAGGCGCAATGCTCTGTGAGCCTCGAAAATGGAAATCTTGGAACAGAAAGCTGAATTGTTCAACCCCTTTTGATTTCAAGGAGGAAGGAAGAATATCTTGTTATGGTTACTGGTTCAAATAAAATCTTTCTGACATCAGTGCTCACCACCAGTTCTAATACCTTAGTGACTTCCATGTCAGTTTATTAAATAGTAAAATTTTATATTCACAGAGATAGGAACTTTCCCAATGAATAAACCACCATAAAAGGGCAAATTCCAGCTCCTAGGTTGCTGGAGCACACCTCTGGTTCACACCAGTGCTTACAGTGATTATGTGTATAAGAGCAGATACTGGTTTTGTATGTATAATATTTAATTGAACAGCTTACAGTGTATGCCCAGAGCTTTTTGAGGTAATATCAGATAAAAGTTGCTTTACTGTCCTTCATTTGGTTATAAAACCTGCTAATATAACATCTGTTGGCTGTATGTTTAAAACTAATGCATTTCCTTCCTTTTATTCTCTTTTGCTATCCCTTTTCCTTTCTGCTTATCCTCCAAATTGCTGCTTTCACCCTTGCTCCAATCAGCTTGACTCTCAGGTCAGTACTTTCAGTTTTTCTTCTAACTGCCTTTCCCCCCAAGCTCAATTTATTGCTTGCACTTGTTTAACAAACATGTTTCTGAATTGGTTTTCCTCTGGCCACCACATTTTCCCCCCATTTCATCCCATGCCTAGGGATGGTTTACTTTTATGAGAAAGCCTGTATAGGTGGGAAAGGGCAAAGAAGGAGATGGAAATAATCACTGTTGGATTATTTGATACATTTGATTCCTGGATTATACAATCAGTGAGAGGAATCAGAGTGAAAACTCCCTAGTCCATTTCTCCTGAGCAGCTCAGAAAATTGATTGCATGATGATAAAACATGTTGCAGTGGAAAAAACAAAATGCAGGATGCTAAATTTAACCCAGGAGAACAAAAGATTTGCCTGTGACGCAGCAACTCAAAAGCTAAATTTAATAGTGCAAACCACTCAGACATTTGCTTAATAAATCACTGTGTTTTGAAAGATTTACGATACTTTTTTTAAAAGTAACTTTTGAAAATTATCAGTGTGTTGGTAACATATTGTACACACATGTTATTTCCTGTCATTGTTTTGGTTTTTTACTTTTTAACTTCATTTTTATTAGCCATAAGACATACTTTAATTACCTAAGGCACAACATATGGAACCAAATGTAAAACTTGATTCCGTGTTGACTATGTACACCCTGATATTGAGAAGCAAAATGAACATTTTGTTTTAGAAATGCATCCCAGATTTGATTCCTCTAAGATAGGGGTCCAAGTTAGTAATTTGTTCTCCTTTAAGTCAAGCAAAACTTCTCTTTACAATAATACGCAGTAACATCTAGTGATTTCTTCAATCAATGAATTTACCAAAAGGTACTCATTGTACGTTTTGGGATACCAAGACTTGGGAAAAAAAAAAAAAAGACTCAAATTGATAGCCGATGTAGTTGTTCTTTTGAGAGACAAGCAATACTATTTTCTTCTCTTTGTTCAGTGTCTGCACTACTTTATTCTGCCCACTGCTCATCACCTAAGCCACCAGACCTGTACATTTCTGCTAACAGAAAGTGATTTCAAAATGAGGCCTCCTGTCCACACACCAGTTTTGTCCCACTGTCTGCTCCCAGTCCCTGTGGCTCATAGTCCTTGAAAATGAAACCACATCTCTGCTATTCCCACATACCATACTGGGTGTCCCACAGGAACTGCCTTGAACTTCATCACACTGAACAAAGCCCATTCTCATGAGTTCACCAGAGATTCAAATAGAGGTTAAAAGCGTGGTCCTCCAGAACTGCTCTCATCCAAAACCTAATGGCAGTTAATTCACTTTCTGGTGCCTCTGTATGCAGAAACAGACATTATAATGAAAGTTGGAAAGGAGGAGCTTGTCCACATGGCATCCAAACTTTTCCTACAAGTTTTGGATCCACTCATTTAATGAAGCTTTTAGCCTTTCTCCTTGCCTGTATTTTTTGTTTTCTTTCTCCTTTTGCCTTCCCTCTGCTGCTCCTGTTCTGTGCCTGTTGATATTTAAGTCCTTGAGACCAGGGACCCCTTTGTCTCTCATACCTCATGTTCCCTGCTGGGGCCTTCAGATGTTGTCCACAGGCATTCTGCTATGTCTTATATGTCAGGAACTGTATTGTGTACTATTTGGTTTTTTCATATTTCATGGTGAATGAACATGAATGCTGACTCTTAAAAGACAAGATGCAAGATTAGGGCTGGGAGAGGCCATGGGTGACGAGGGGTCTCTCTCCAGAGGGCTCGGTGTGTTGATTGGTTTTGGTAAAATGTTCAGGCCAGATCTGGTTGTTTGAATTATATGGTCAAATAAAGATTCAGATGATTTCAGTATCGTTTAGCCTCTTACCCCATATGACCACACCGGAGAAAATGTACAATCATTGTAAACAGTCTCTTGTTATATTTTTAGTGTAAGAGGAATTGGGCAGCTCTGCTTTCCTGGAAACAAAAATGTCTATAGGTCTTGGAAGTTTCCTTGAGCTTTGACAAGTTTCCAGAGTTAACTATGCTTTTTTTTTTTTTTCCCTCCCAGCCACTTCCAAGTTTACCAGTTAAAGTAAAATGAAATGTAACATTCTGGAGGGGAAGTGGGTGGGGAGATGGGTTAAATGGGGGATAGGTATTAAGGAGGGCACTTGTGATGAGCACTGGGTTTTGTAAGTGTGAATCACCAAATTCTGCACCTGAAACTAATATTACACTGTATGTTAACTAAATGGAGTTTAATAAAAACTTGTAAAAGGAAAAAATAGTTAAGGGAAAAAAATGAAATGTAACAGTTGAATTAAATATACGATCTCTGGCCCCGGGGGATCTTTCTTTATATGGCTTACAAGTGAGATACATCTATTTGTGTGTATGCATACATATATGTGTATATACACATAGCACATATATATTTTTAATGTGTGATCTTTCTTACAGTAGAAGTTGGTAGTCTGCCCTGTACCTCCCTACCTCCCAATCTGAAGTTTGAAAACGACTGTTAGGTCTTTTTTTCTGTGCTGTGGACTCCATGGGAAATCTTCCCCTCCAACTACTTTTTAAAATGGCCTCATTTCCTTTTCAAACTCTATAAAGGCTCTCCTGCTTAAATTCAGGTGGACAGATAATAAGTATCTGTTTTGGTAAAATGTAAATGTCCTCTTCCAAACCTGGTCAGATTCTCACTCCAGTAAACTCCACTTCTGTCAAGAATCTCTTTACACACAAACCAGTGGGAAGCTAGAGAGATTTAACAGGATCTCCACATTGCACTCTGGGGGGGAGTTTATGTGAAGTTTGCTCATTTCTAGAACTATTTGTGAGATTACCGTGTGACTTATGACAGATGACATTATCTAGATAAATGTATGCAGCAATTGACCAAAAAAAGAAAAAAAAGTATCCTTTGGGATTCACTTCAAAATCTTGCCAGAAAGTCAACCAAGTAAAACCAGAAGGCTCAAGGCTTTCCCGGGCTTTCCCAGCCTCCAGTTTGCTTTGGATCTTGAGTCACCTGCTTCCTTCCTTGTGCCTCAGTATCCCTTCTTTGAGAGGAAGGAGCTGTGTTTGGAGTGGGTCTCCTGGGAGCCTCCCTGCACATGTTCTGCGGGGGTACTTTTGGTGATGGGCTGTGTGCATCTCCCTGGCAAGCAGGCTCCAGCTGATGGCTGGCGCCTGGCAGCAGGCGTGAGCTCATTGTTACAGAGTCACTTCAAACACTTCTACCAAAATAAACTCTTTGTGATGTTTCCCCAGAGCTTAGTACTGCACTCTCAATCTCTCATTCTTCTAGCAAAGGATGAAGTCATTGCTCCCAGACCTCAGAGGCCTGTTGCCCAAAGAAATAATGAAAAACAACTTGCTTAGAGCATCCCCTGCTGTCCTGCTGTTTGCTCTTCATTAGTTCTTACCCCATTCTCTCCACAAATACCTAGTGACCAACTACTGTGTGTTAGGACTGGCATTATATACTGGCCTGGCATTTCTAAAAAAAATAGCCAATGAAGTGGTGCCCCGGTGGCTTGGTCGGTTAACTTTCTTATTCTTGATATAGATTCAGGTGGTCATCTTGTGGTCATGAGATCAAGCTCCGCATTTGGCTCCATGCTGGGCATGGAGCCTGCTTGGGATTCTCTTTCTCCCTCTCTGCCCTTCCCCTCCTTATGCTCTCTCTTTCTCTCACTCTCAAAATAAATTTAAAAAAATTAGCTGATGAAAAACTGACCAAATCATTTAAAAAATGATGTATATTACATTCATTTTTATATTCATGATGCACATTGATAATAATCATAATAGAAATAACAGAAGTAGAAGTAGCAGCAGCAGTAACAATATTGGACATTAACTAAATGCCAGCACTGAATTAATAACTTTTTATGTAGTATTTACTCATAACAACTGTATGAGGTTGGAACTGTCTGTTCTTTCATGTTGGAGAAGAGGAAACTGGAACTCATAAAAGTTAAATATTTTGCTCAAGTTAAAACAAGGTAGAAAGAATTGGGAGTTTTCCCCCAAAAGCCAGTCCTTTCTGATTTACAAATGGAATCTTTTTCCACTTCTGTTCCAATTGCATTACAATCATTGAGAAGGCTGAATTAGAGACACCCATGCAACTATGTGGGATCCATGGTTTCCCAAATATGGGGTTCATAGAATAGACCACATGAAGCACTTTGGGGAAATACTGTCCTGTTTGCTTTGCAGACAGCCTCTCTCTTCACCCTGAGATTCATGCTTCCCTCCCCCTCCATCCCTTCCCCCTCCTTAAGCTGGTTTCTTCTTTAAAAATTCTGCCTCTTCATGACTGTTCATTGAAATCCTTCTGCATTGAGTCTGTGCTGGATGTTGGGAATATAGCAGTAAAACAGACATGACCCCTCCCCTCACTGAATTCAAAGACCAGCACTTCCTATAAGGAAGGATTTGGCTACTAAGAAAAATAGTTTGTCCCATTTATACTAATAACTGGAAAAACTGGGTTTCAGGTGTTTTTTAAAATTCCTTTTCCTGTTGGGGTTGAAGGGGTTATCCACAGGTCAGAAAATTATTTCCCTCTTTTAGCTGCCTTATACCAATGCTGACATTTCTGGTGAAGTGTCAGAAAATTTTATGCCCAAGCAGAACTGGTAGAAAGCCAGAAATCAGTTGATTTTGCTTTGGGTGCAAATATTTTATTGGGGATGGAAAAAGTTGTTTTCCCTGATTTACAGCTCCTGCAAACATAAAGTGGGTTCTATATTTGGAAATGTTTTTGAACCTTTGAGGTGTAGCCAGGGGTTGGTTCTTGCACCTTTCCAACCTGGCCTTGATAGGACTTGCCATGGCTAATGTTTTGCTGAGCCAGCTCCAATTTGTAGAGCTAAGGCTTTATGCTCTGTATTATTTTTACTTTTTAGCTTTTGCTTGAGTGGCTGCTCTGGCTCTCTATCTGTATCCCCTAGAATATGAAGAAGATTGTAGGCACACAATCTGCATTGTAGTTGAAATGCTTTGTGCTGCAG